AAAAAATTAATTTTTATATCTAAATTTTAATCTATTAGTTGAATTTTTTTAATCTATTAAATTTTATTTAACACTTGACTCATTAATTAATATAATTATATTATTTATCTCTAAAATTTAATTTATTAATTGATATTTTTAACTTTGTTAAATATTACTTAACATTTAACACATTGCTTAACATAATTATATTATTCACTCTTTATTTAAATGATTTAAATATCTAATTTAGCTAAAAAATAATAAAATTCACTTTCAGCAACAAGGACCATGTTGCTGAAAGTGAAGAATACTTTTTTGGGGGGAAAGTGTACTATTTAAACGAAATCCGGTCATGAATAGTAACCAAAAATTTTCAGCAACAAGAACCATGTTGCTAAAAGTAAATACCACTTTTTGCTAATTAATTTATGAAATTTGTGCAAAATCCGGTCATGAACAGTAACCAAAAAATTTCAGCAACAAGAATCATGTTGCTAAAAGTAAATACCATTTTTTGCTAATTAATTTATGAAATTGGTGTAAAATCCGGTCATGAACAGTACAAAAAAAATTTCAGCAACAAGAATCATGTTGCTAAAAATAAATACCACTTTTTGGTAATTAATTTATGAAATTGGTGCAAAAATCCGGTCATAAACAGTAATAAAAAAATTTCAGCAACAAGAATTATGTTGCTAAAAGTAAATACCACTTTTTGCTAATTTATTTATGAAATTGGTGCAAAATCCAATCATGAACAGTAACCAAAAAGTTTCAGCAACAAGAATTATGTTGCTAAAAATAAATACCACTTTTTACTAATTAATTTATGAAATTGGTGCAAAATCCGGTCATGAACAGTAATCAAAAAATTTCAGCAACATGGTTCCTGTTGCTGAAAACTATTTTCAGCAACAAGAACTATGTTGCTAAAAATAAAGAACACTTTTTGCCGATCAATTAATAAAATTGGTGAAAAATCCGGTCATGAACAGTAACATAAAATTTTCAGCAACATGCTCTTTGTTGCTGAAATTCATTTTTAGCAACAAAAACCATGTTGCTAAAAGTAAAGAACACTTTTTGTTAAAATGTGTACTATTTAAGTATCAGCAATATGGGTTTTGTTGGTGAAAATTCATATCACCGACAAGCAATTTCATGTTGCTGATGCTTAGTTGCTGAAACCAAAAATTTTAGTAGTGGTAAAAGACTCACTAACATTAACAATAATGTAAAATAACTTATAATTAAGGATTTTTCTAACTTATGCCATAAGATTATTTTTTATTATAAATATACATAGATAATGTAAAAATTGATATTAATTTTAGTGTCAAGTAAATTTAGTTGAACAATTGATAAATTAAATGTTATTTTTTATTTTTTAATATAAATTTATAATGTAAATATGTAATTAAAACACCCTTAGGACACAAATCAGATAAACCCTATAATTAATGACCAAAAAAATGTGAAATTAACTTATTATCGATTAATTATATTGGGTTTATTTAATCTATGTCATTGTCTAATTTATTGTATCATCATCAGCTGCCGATGTAAAATATTAATAAAAGTTTCATCACCTCTTTTATATGTTGAGAATGTTAATACATAGTTTCAAATTTTTTATTAACTAATTAATTACACTGGATATTATATTTTAATACGAGGTTTAAGAAGAATATTTGCATCACGAGAGAGCCATCGAAGAGAGCAATAGCCAGCAATAGCCGGAAGACTCAATAACATTAAAAATTCATGTGCCGATCAAAATAATAATATTGTTAATTGTTGTTTTATTAAGATTAAAATGAATTATTCGGGTGTAGTTATT